TTATATATAGATATATATAGAATGTCATTATAAGTGTATTTTGTTACCAATATTTATATATTAATAACAAAATACAGTCAAAATGAAATTACATATGTATTTATAATTTATTTTCATTTTTGTAAAAATTTTTATTTATTTTATTATTTTATTTAATTATTATTGTAATTATACGTATATACAAATATATATATATATTATATATATAATATATACATCTTATATGTGACTTTATTCTAAGTGTATTTTAATACTAATATATGTACTTATATTAATATTAAAATACACTACGTATGACGTTTTATATATATATATACACACACATATATGTACATTTAATTTATTTTAACATGTTAATTATTATTTTTGTATACTTCCACCAGCAGGGGGACTGTCTGACAACCCAGACAGTCCCCCTGCTGGCAGATCCACAGCCAGCTCCTGGGGGCTTAAGGCGTTACGGCGTTCTATGCCGCCGCAACGGCTTTAAAGCCCATTAGAATGGGGAAGGCATAGAATGCTGTAACGGCATTAAGGGGTTAACAGGTGGCTCTGTACAGGCTTGTAGGATCATCTGCAGCACAGGAATACATGCAATACATTTGACAAATAACTATAATGCACAACCTGCACCTATAATAGGCAGTGGGTCATGGGTGTCCGCAGGGGGGCATTGCTACCCGCCCCTGGATTTTTCAGCTTGTTCTGCTATTTTGTGTGAGATTTAGAATGAACTGCAATACCGGCGCCGGCCAGTAGTTGGCGCTGTGTATGGAGAGAGACAGGGATAGGAAGCTGCATCTTATCCCTGCTTCTCTGCTGATTGAAACCGCAGGGGAGCAACACATGCAGGCAACCGAGACAGCCTACAGATCAGGGAAGTGGGGGATGGGGGGGAGGGTTTGAGAGGGGGGCAGCAGCCTATAGATTTGGGCAGCAGCAGTTAGATTTGGGCAGCAGCAGCCCATAGATTTAGGTGGGCAGCAGCCCATAGATTTGGGGGGCAGCCTTTAGGTTTGGGGCAGCAGCCCATGATTTGGGGGGGGAGGGCAGCAGCCTTTAGATTTGTAGAAGCAGCCCATAGATTTGAGGCGGGGGCAGCAGCCCATAGATTTGGGGAGGGGGGCAGCAGCCCATAGATTTGGGGAGGGGGGCAGCAGCCCATAGATTTGGGGAGGGGGGCAGCAGCCCATAGATTTTTTTTGGGGGGGCAGCAGCCTATAGATATATAGAAATGAACAGGAAGGGTCAGCAAGGAGCTGGAAGGTAAAGCAGCACAAAGGTAAAGTAGAAGGAGCAAAAAGGGTCAGAAATGAGCTGGAAGGGGCAGAAGGAGCACAAACATAAAGTAGGAGAATGAGCAGGAAGGGCCTGCAAGGAGCAGGAAAGAGCACAAAGGGACAGCAAGGAGCACAAAGGTAAAGGAGCAGAAAGAATCAGAAGGAGCACAAAGGTAAAGTAGGAGAAGGAGCAGAAAGGGACAGGAAGGAGCACAAAGGTAAAGTAGAAAAGTGAGCAGAAAGGGTCTGCAAGGAGCAGAAAGGGATCAGAATGAGAAAGGAGCAGAAGTGCGCAAAATAAGCAGAAAGTAGCAGAAAGGTAAAAGAGCAGAAGGGGCCAAGGATAGAAAACAGTGTCAGAAGAAAAAAAAAGACTGTCAAATGAAGGAAAGGAAAATGAGATTGGAGCAGGAAGGACAAATGAAGTCAACCCTCCACTTTATTCTGGACACCACATCATAAGGCTTTGGTACCTGGGTCTGGCAGGGAAACGCTGGACCTTCTCATCTCCAAAGGTAAAAAAATATCGGTGTTAATGTGTTCACTTTTATTTACTGAGTGTCAGGAAGCACAGAGTGCCGTTGGGTAGGGGTGTTGCTGATTGGCTAGAGCGGTCAGCTGGCACTCTAAGCCAATCAGTAGCTCCCATTCATAAAAAAGTAAAAATATTTTATGAACCGGGAACTAGCGATTGGCTTAGAGCGTCAACTGACCACTCTAGCCAATCAGCGGCACCCATGCCTGACGTCAATCTGCACTTCCTGACACTCTGTTTCAGAAGCCAAATACCACTGAGCGACCTGAAGCTGGAGGAAGCCTTTGGGGTTAAACCATTTGAGAGCGATTTAACCCCTTAAAGGAAAGCGAGCACCCAGGGGCTTCCTGGCATCATAGCATTTTCATTTAGGTGAAGTTGTTATGGTGACCAGAAATGTCCTTTAATTTGGTTAAATGAACACTATAGTGTCAGGAACACAAACATATATTCCTGACACCATAGTTGTGAAAACGCTATTCACCCTGGTTTTATGTGATAATGGCTATGCCCCTTCCCTTTCATGACACTGTCAAAAAGGTACCAAGCATGGATGTCATTACAATTATGCCCCCCCCCCTGGAAAAATTCCTGCGGACGCCCATGCACTGGGTGACACAGCCATCACACCCTCTCATCCAATAGTCCTATCACTCCCACACAGCCACCTCTCCCTCTCTCCTCATCTTCATTTCATCCCCGCCCAACCCTTCCTCTCACTCCATCTTCCCCTTGTCTCCCCATCTTCCCACCCATCCCTTCCTCTCCCATCTCTCCCCATCTTCCAATCATCCCCTCCCAACCCTTCCTCTCACCCTATGTTCCTATCGCTGCTACGTGGCCATCTCACCCTATCATTCCATACTCCAATCACCCCCACCCAGCCAGCCCACCCTCTCATCTCATTGCCCTATCACTGCCACCCAGCCATCTAACCCTTTCATTCCATACTCGTATTACTGCCACCCAGCCATCTAACCCTTTCATTCCATACTTGTGTCACTGCCACCCAGCTAACACGTTCATTCCATACTCATATCACTGCCACCCAGCCATCTCACCCTCTCATTCCATACTCCTATCACTCTCACCCAGCCATCCTTCCCTTTCACCCCAAATTCAAATCCCTCTTACGCCATCTCCCCCCATCCTTCTTTTCCCATCTCTCCCCATCCTTCTATCACTCCTTCCTATCACTTCTTTTCTCATCAGTTCCATCCCAGCTCTCCAACTCACAGCAACACACATCACAAACAGCAATACTTTTAACACACAGGTACCCACAGTAACCCACACATCACACACATCACTAAAAGCTACCCAGACATATAACTCACATATTACACATAGCTACCCACACACAGAAATTCATATACTGCTGTATACTTATACAACACTGAGGGTCACCCATCAATTAACCCTACAGAAAACAAAGTAACCCCTTGCACAGCCTTTTAATAAATATTATTGGATGCAAACCTTAAAACAATTTGCTGCGCTTACCTATGCATAGGACAGTACATTTGTTTTAATCATTGATTTGTTTTAATGTAATGTAATGTTTCATGTACAGAAATTAGGTCCAATTTTTGCAACATTTTGGACATCTCCACATCTAGGTGATATACTAACAGTCTCTCCTAGGGGGACCAAGAGTCATGTTGAAGGCACTCAAACAATGGAGTTCACCCAGAATACAAATGTAATAACAGAGAAAATCTAATAAACTCCTAAATTAGAAGTCATTAGAAAGAGCAGGCCCCTACACAAGATAAATAAAAGGAAAACAAAAACAACGTTCTTAGTAATAAACATATTAGTACTAGTAGAGTCAGTCAAAACAAACAAACAAACAAACAAGCTAACACTCTTAAAATTGCTTGGAAGACAGAGAAGGATCATCCTTGCATTGTGTATCCCTCACATTCATGCACCATGAAACTAATATGGATATATTTAGGTTGATAAGATCCATAGTAAATCTTAATAAGTATCCAATAAATTATTAAATTATTATTCAAATATCTATATTTTTATGGATAATGAGCTGTGACAAGTCTCTGAACACTTGGCAAAATGTGTTCTATTCTTCGGTTTAGCAATAAAAATTGTAACCAATATCTAAAAAGGACAGGGATACAAATATAAAGTAACAAAAAGTTAAACAAAGAAAGTAAAGCAAATAAAACCAACACCTGGGTGACTTTATAACTGACTCAATTGTCAGTAATCACACCAGTTCATGTATGTGAGTAAGTGATAGATGCTATAAATCAATGAAGAAAGATACTCTCTATCTAATGTTTAATAGCAGGATAAGGGTAAGTATATCTGACATGCACGGGTAAACAATGGAATTATCTATGAAGTACCTTATATAACAATTAATAAATAAATACCCTCCTACACCAGCCGTTAGGTAGAGCGTATTATTATTCTCAAACTATCGTACCCACATAACTTGGTCATCCTGCCTACTTATATCTAAATCCCCATCACACTGGGCTAAAGCGAATAAATAAAAGATAAAGCAAAAAATGGCCAATGTGCGTTTCGGCGCTAGCTTGCGCCACATCCAGGAGCAAGTGTCCGAGTTTGCTCAGCTGTTACTGCACTTGAACATGTGACATCGACAATCTTCATTGCCATGGGAACATCATGCAGGGGTGACAATGGCAAGATTACCTCTTAGTCCCCTCAGAAATCATTGATTCCTGATGGACTGGAGTATGAGATGCATTCAGATCTGGCATACAAATGTGGCATTCATGGGGCCTACATTAGACCTCCTACATTAGCAAATGTTCACCAGACTTTTTGTAATTATCCGTGCAACTCCCTTTTTATGACCTGCTGGACACAATGCTCTCCTCTCACTCTCCGAGTACCAGTAGCTGATAACCTTAGTAAGTTTTCTACTCCACCAAAGCATGAAGGAAATATAGAGAGCAGCTCAGGGAACCTCAACATATTAATTTGGAAATGTAAACGTGGAAATCAACATGGATTACTGTTTTAAGAGATGCTTTGTCTCTTTGTAGAATTGTAAGGGTTGTTGGTGCAGATAGAGGGGACACTTCATTGTTTTACTTCAGGAGAATTTCTAACTTACCTGGTTCAAATAATTTGTGTTCATTTAAGGCAAATCTACAATCCTGAGTAAATCAAAATCCTCAAAAGAAAAATCAATAATTTCCTTAATAGAACTTTATTGGTGTTGTTAATTACAGTGATGAAATGGTCATTTGTCACATTTACACCGTCAGTTTATCTGGATTTGGAAACCAGAACAGCAGAAACTGCATCGAGGAACTTGTCCCAGGCTGATTGGGCAGTGGGAGTGAATTCAGCTCCAAAGTGAGCAGCCATAGTGACCTGGATGGAGTGAGACAGCAGCTACAAGAGAAATCAAATGAGAGTTAAATTTAGTTATTTATGATAGATGTACAAAATATGTAATCATTTGTATTCAATATTAGATTTTATCTTCGAGAAGCTATTTTTTTTTTTACAATTAACATATGTTTAGAGACAATTATATCAATGTGCTTCTTACATGAAATATCTTTCTGCCTCTACTAACATGACAAGTCAATGAACATAAAATAACACTAATGGGGAATACAAATTGCATATTATAAAATGCAGCTAGCATATAGCTCCCTCAGCATGTGGGCCCCAGTGCAGCCACACTGGGTGCACCAGCGGTAGTAACACCACTGAGCGGCGTCCCTGTCTGAGGCTTCCTGATTCAAGTCTTATACAACAGCAAAAAGGAGGGGCAGATCTAGCCAGCACTGGGTTCAACACTTATGGGTTAAACCTCTTGTTAGGAGTTTAGCCCCTAAAGGTAAGATAGCGCCAAGAACCTCATAGCACCACAACAACTTAATTCTGATGAAGTCGTTATGATGTCCAGAGAGTCTTTTTAAAGTAGGTCCAATTATGGAAGCCAGAAGAATCAGCACTGGTGATTTCTCCACCTTTAATTTGTACAACTGTTTAAAACAGGACACTTTGATAAATCTCCCATATATATTTAATTTTTAGTCATTTTGTTGATAACCCCATGTTATTGTAAAGCAGAAAAATAACAAAAAGTTCTTACACTGAAGTTGCCAGGGTCAACTCTCAGTTGTAAAGCCTGGAGGTCACTGAGGTCAGATAGAGCACCGCTAAGATCATCCAAGTGACTGGCAGCACCTCCAATGGCATTCAAAACTTTTCCACCATGAGTGCGGAGATCCTGGGAACCATGGCTCATGTTAAAATGGCTGAAGTAGGTCTTCATCGGAGGGAAGCTCAGAAAGAGCCTGTTCAAAAGAGAAACATAAGTATGGGTTGCAAATTACTACATGTTATTTGCATAACTGGTTATAACATCAGTTATCATTTTAATTCCCTTGTCAATCCACAATTTAATGTACAAACATTTATGAAACAGTGAATTAACAAGGGAATTAAATTAACCTAATTGGAAAACGAAAATCCAATTCAGATGTTTATGCCTTGGTAATATCCTTGTAAATCGGTCACAACTAAAAATGTATTGAATAAATCCACAAAAAATTAAATGTGGTGAAATGACAGACTGAACAGTAAAAACTAGGACGCCTACTTTATTCATCTTGACTCCTTTAGTCTACATTTTTGTAACCACATTTCAATGTTTAGTGAATACACATGTCAAATTATGGATAAAATTAACTAACAGGGTATTTCACTAAAGAGAGGATACAAAATGAATTTCAAATTTAAGGTAAGAATAACTAAAATTGAAACATTCTCTAATCAGGGCTGCCCAAAAGGTAGATCCCTCGATGCTGTAGAACTACAACTCCCATGATGCTTTGCATGCCTTTAGCATGACTTTAGAATGATGGAAGCTGTAGTTTTAAAACATCTGGGGTCTACAGTTTGGGCATCCCTCCGCTAAGTCAAGTATGCTTCCAGTTTGGCTACTCTGACTTAAATTAGAAATTCACTTAGAATTCTCACTTTAGTGAAAAACCCTTCTAGTTGAAAACCTCTGTTATGTTACTCAGCTTCTATTGTGGAAAAGGGTAGCTGTGATAAGACCAATTATTATTTAATTCTATCAAGTCAGACCACAACAATAACGCTTAATAGAGCTGTAAAACTACTCAAAGGAAATAAATCTCTCTAACATTTGATACAAATTAACAATTTTTAATATATCTTGTAAAGCAGCGTTGAAAAAAAACTTTAATTTGACACATTGGCAATATTTATTATACATTTTTATATCAAATGACTGCAGCTTCACGTGCAAAAGGCAGGCAGCACTATTACACCTTCTAGGTGTTATTAGATCTTAAAATGATAAATACTTTATTTAACCGCATCACAAATAATCTATGGTCTTCCTAAAATGAACATCTGAAAGTAATGTATGTAATGAACCACTTCACGTGCAAGAAAAAGTGAGTCCAAATATTGCTATGTTATCCCAACTTATCCCAATTTATTAAGGTAAAAATATAGTTTAGATCAGGGCAGGTGTCAAGTCCTGGGGAAAAAAGTGTGGGAACTCACCCAAGATTCCCGCCCCCCCCCACCCCCCCTTAAAAAAAAAAAAATACACTCCTATGCATATAGTGCAGTGCATGTATAATGAATGTAGTGTGTTTGTAGTGAATGCAGAGTATGAATAATAAATGTAGTGTGTTTGTAGTGAGTGCAGTGTGAATAAGAATTGTAGTGTATTTGTAGTGAGTGCAGTGTGTGTATAATGAATGTAGTGTGTTTGTAGTGAGTGCAGAGTGTGTACAATGAATGCAGTGTATGTAGTGTGTGTATAGTGAATGTAGTGTGTAGTGAGTGCAGAATGTGTATAATGAATGCAGAGTGTGTATAGTGAATGTAGTGTGTTTGTAGTGAGTGAAGAGTGTGTATAATGAATGCAGTGTGTGAGTGCGCTGGATGATGTGTGTGTGTGAGTGCGCTGGATGATGTGTGTGTGAGTGCGCTGGATGATGTGTGTGTGTGTGAGTGCGCTGGATGATGTGTGTGTGTGAGTGCGCTGGATGATGTGTGTGTGTGAGTGCGCTGGATGATGTGTGTGTGTGAGTGCTGGATGGTGTGTGTGAGTGCGTGTGTGAGTGCTGGATGATGGGTGTGTGTGCGCGCTGGATGATGGGTGTGTGTGTGTGCGCTGGATGATGGGTGTGTGTGCGCGCTGGATGATGGGTGTGTGTGCGCTGGATGATGTGTGGGTGGGGGGGGGAGCATTTTGTTTCTTACTTTATGTGTTTATATTTGTTTATTTTATTCCCCCCTCCCTGCTTCTTACCTTGTCAGGGAGGGGGGAGATCGCCTGGTAGTCCGGTGGTATGCTGGAGGGAGCCAGCCGCTGCACAGTGGGGCCATCACACGCTGTGTTCCCTCTCCAGCTCTAACTCACGCGAGACTCGCCTGTGTGGAGCGTTGCCATGGTAACAGCCGCGGGTCTCGCGAGAGTTATAGCTGGAGAAGGGAACACAGCGTGTGATGGCCCCTCAGTGCAGGTAGCAGGGCCGGTCCTGCAGGACAGGTAACGGGAACGGCGTTCCTGCTTTGGAAAAAGTGCAGGAACGCCGTTCCCATGCGTTCCTGCAGGACTCGAGCCCTGGATCAGGGGTCCTCAAACTTCACCCCCCAGATGTTGCTGAACTACAACTCCCATGATTCTCTGGCTATCTATGTAATTCAAAGAATCATGGGAGTTGTAGTTCAGCAACATCTGGGGGGCCGAAGTTTGAGGACCCCTGGTTTTGATAAATGAACTTGCAATGGTTTTGGTACAATTAGTATGTCTATTTCTAATGCACATCAGAACTTCAGAGCATTAGTCAAAAGTGAATCACTTTGGGGTTTATTCACTGCATTTGTAATCGTGAAAAAATTACAAGAGAATCGTAGAATTTAGGCCAAATTACCGACTTAGCAGAGTTAGGGATTTAAAAAAAAAAAAAAAAAAAAAAAAGTTTGCCTATTTAAAGCTGTAAATCCCTTATAGATTCTCTAAAATTCCAGCTTTACTGAATAAACACATAGAGGATTATTTACTAAAGTGAGATTTTGAGGCGAATTTAAAGGGATTTTTAAATTTATTGTCAAAATAGTCAAATTGGAAGCATCTCTTAAGTCAGCTATGTTTTTAGTTCAATTACTCATTCATTTTGAATTCACTTTCAATGCTCACTTTAGTAAATAACCCTTTAACAGGTTTTTATTTACTAAAGTAAAACATTATCAGGAATTCAATATGAATTTCAAATTTAAGGACAATTCTCAAATTTAAGGACTATCCTCAGTTTAGTAAATATCCCTGTGCATTTATGTAAAATATTTCAGTGTAGAGAGTTCATAGAACGTTGACTAAGGACTCGTGCAATAACATGTTTAGATTAACTATACTACCGGCTTAATATATGAAAGTTATAAAATATTACTTCAATTGATAAATGAAAATATTTCACAATAAAATGTTATATAATAGACTATCATGTCAGTCATACCTTTCCAAAGCCTCTGCCCCAAGCTCATCAGCGTGGCCGTCTACCTTTCCCCAGATGGAGACAATTGCAGCCTTTTCAGCGTCTGAGAAAGTCATGTTGAATTGGAGTATTGGACACTCTGCAAGTGAGTTTAAAAGTCCCTACTGAATGGTCAGTTTATTGGCATTTTTAAAGAAAATGGACATCAAAGAAAACAATTGAAAAATATTCCCATCAACAATTTTTCTGGTTGCACCCAAATTCTTATCTTGAAAATAAAACGTATATGTCATGGATTCTATACTGCTGATAGGAATATTGTCTCATTATCTCAACATACAGTGTGTTGTATACAGCAGGGCCGGACTGGGAGAAAAATTCGGCCCGGGCATTTTTTTAACACAGCGGCCCACTAAAAATGGGGCGGGGCAGAGGAGGTGTGTTTTGTCATCACCAATGACAAACACGCCTCCTCTCAAAGTGAGCATGTTGGTTCAATGCTCTTCCAGGGCAGACCATGCGCAGAGCTCTGCTGAAGAGCTCTAGCATGAGAAAAAAGTCCTGTATTTGTTCTGCACAGTGCAAGCAAATTTAATAACATGCTTGCACTGTGTTTCCTTGCAACTTGTCTCTGGTGTCTCTATAAATGGATACCAGGAGACAAAAGGCCAGGACAGAGTATTGTGCATGTGTTTGGAGCCTGCTTGTGGTATTGCGTGTGTGTAGAGTGAGCTGGTCGTGGTGTGGTATTGTGTAATAAGGTCGGTTTTAGTCGTGTTGTGTTTGTGGTGTAATGTGATGCATATGTGGCTCAGGAACCCCCTCCCGCACGGCTCTGGAAAGGGGTTAAAACTTACCTTTTTCCAGCGCCGGGCGGGGAGCTCTCCTCCTCCGATCCGCCCCGTCGGCTGAATGCGCACGCGCGGCAAGAGCTGCGCGCGCATTCAGCCGGTCGCATAGGAAAGCATTTATAATGCTTTTCCTATGGACGCTTGCGTGCTCTCACTGTGATTTTCACAGTGAAAAGCACGCAAGCGCCTCTAGCGGCTGTCAATGAGACAGCTGCTAGAGGCTTTGGGGGAAGGCTTAACCTATTGATAAACATAGCAGTTTCTCTGAAACTGCTATGTTTATAAAACAATGGGTTAACCCTAGAAGGACCTGGCACCAAGACCACTTCATTAAGCTGAAGTGGTCTGGGTGGCTAGAGTGGTCCTTTAAGAGTGTAGTGTGTGTGTGTATGTATATGTATATGTGTGTGTGTGTGTATGTATATATATATATATATATATATATATATATATATATATTTGGAAGTATTGTGTATGTGTGTTGGGGGGGTTCTGTGTGTATGTGAGGGGTGCAGTATGTGTGTGTGTGAGGGTGCGGTGTATGTGTGTGTGTGAGGGTGCGGTGTATGTGTGTGTGTGTGTGTGAGGGTGCGGTGTATGTGTGTGTGTGAGGGTGCGGTGTGTGTGTGATGTGTGTGAGAGTGCCGTGTGTGAGTGATGGGTGTGAGAGTGCCGTGTGTGTGTGATGGGTGTGAGAGTGCTGTGTGAGATGGGTGTGAGAGAGTGCTCTGTGAGAGTGCTGTGAGAGAGTGCTGTGTGTGTGTGAAAGTGCTGTGTGTGATGGGTGTGAGAATGCCGCTGTGTGTGATGGTGTGAGAGTGCTGGGTGTGAGAGTGCTGTGTGTGATGGGTAAGAGAGTGCTGGGTGTGAGAGTGCTGTGTGTAATGTGTGAGAGAGTGCTGTGTGTGATGGGTGAGAGTGCTGTGTGAGAGAGTGCTGTGTGTGATGGGTGTGAGAGTGCTGTGTGAGAGAGTGCTGTGTGTGATGGGTGTGAGAGTGCTGTGTGAGAGAGTGCTGTGTGTGATGGGTGTGAGAGTGCTGTGGGAGAGAGTGCTGTGTGTGATGGGTGTGAGAGTGCTGTGTGAGAGAGTGCTGTGTGTAATGTGTGAGAGAGTGCTGTGTGTAATGTGTGTGAGAGTGCTGTGTGTAATGTGTGTGAGAGTGCTGTGTGTGATGGGTGAGAGTGCTGTGTGTGATGGGTGTGAGAGTGCTGTGTGAGAGAGTGCTGTGTGTGATGGGTGTGAGAGTGCTGTGTGAGAGAGTGCTGTGTGTGATGGGTGTGAGAGTGCTGTATAAATGTTATTGTGTGTGTGTGTAGGGGGGGGGGTAAATAAAAAAAAATAAAAAAGTCATTATTTCCCCCCCTCCCTTCTTACCTTTAGCCTGGGAGGGGGGTCCGGCACGCTGGAAGGCGGGGTGGCAGTGTTCCCTGGTGGTCCTCGTGGGTGAGTGAACTCTAGCCTGTGAGGTTAGAGTTCACTCTCGCGAGATCCGGTCGTTGCCATGGCAACGCGCCGGATCTCGTGAGAGGAACCCGGCGGAGCTGCAAGTTAGAGCTCCGCCGGGTCCTCTCTCCAGCCTGGCTGGCTGGCTCCCTCCCTCCCCGCCGGCGGCCGCATGTGGGCCGGTCAGGGAGATCTTTGATCTCCCCACCGGCCCGTCGTGACAAACAGCGGGGCCGGCGCTAGGAGAGTGCCGGCCCTGCATAGACCGGCAGGGGAGATCCTGTGATCTCCCCTGCCGGCCTCGGCACATGGCCACCGCGGCCCACCGGGCATTTGCCCGGTGGCCAGTCCGGGCCTGGTATACAGTACCTATCTTCCTATGACTGTGCAAGTCTTCTGCACTGATAAACCGCCTCATCAGCACAACAAGTCTATTGTCTAAAATGAAATTCATTCTGAAGTGATTAGGTAGCATTTACTGAAATGTGACATTTCATGCTTTATGTTACTGTATTGTATTGTAATTCATTGACGTCCTTCACTTAAAATGCAATTGCACGAGAATGACTAAAATATACATATGGGATATAAATACATAATGCCTTAAATTAGGAATGTTTTTGCAATTTCATGTTTAAATACTTTGCAGGATCTGTATGTAATTGATTAAATAGCAGGTTACCAGAGAGCTGTTTGTACAAACCCTATATATTGGAATAATGTTATGTAACCCAACTGACACTCCTTTTTCTAAACGAGTTCATATTTTCTAGCCAACACCCACACTTCTTATCTAAGGATGTGTCTCACCTTCATTTATAAAAAACGATTATAAATAGGATGGCGCAAGTGAGAGAAGGATCTTAGTACATGCAGCAACCAACAAAAACAAATCCTGGTAAAACGATTTGAACATAAAATAACTTACAGTAGTGATGGTGCACAACAACAAAGAAATAAAAATCATATTCACTATGGACCTCTTATAGAGAGTGAAAGTAACCCTGTGTACATAAAATGAGGTGTTTACAGAGTGGAAATATTATAAATACTTTAAAACCAAACAGTGGTTGTGGTAAAACAAAACACAATCTGTAGGTATACTTGAAAACATGGAAATCACTCTGACACCTATTAAGGAGACAAAAACAGAAAGAGAGCTCCTAGTGCAGCGTAGTAATTCGCTTATAAATATATAAAATAAAGCAAACAGAGGTGCCCTTTAGGTATTACACTCACAAGATTGGAGTGGTAAAAGCACCACTCGTTGCTATAGCACTCAGGGAGGATCAGCCCCTAGAGTGCGTGGGATCCGTGGAAAGGAAGCTTGCAACCCGGATCTCAGGTAAGTATACTTTATTACAATTAAAAAACAGCAAAACTTGTTGTGGAGTTAATTAGTCCGCTCACCAGCCTCAGGAAACCGCAAACAGTAAAGAATCTTCCGGCTGCTATCCTGGTTGTTGTTGCCGACTGTCTCCAAATCACTTCCTGGTTCCGGGTCCGTAATGCATTTCGCCCCCCCCTCAGGGCTTTGTCAAACGGCTGATGCTTCCTCCCACTATCCTGTGTCTTATATTCCCCAATCCATGTAACCAACCATTTTAAAATCAATACAAACTTTCTCATCAACATTTCAGAGTCCAAAATAAGTCTTTTATTAGTAGCACTGCTGATCCCAGTGCCAACTGATAGAAATGGGGTCTCAGATATTTAAAACTATGAATATATACAAAAAAAAAATAAAAAATTAAAACGTGGAACAAAAATGGGGTATATTGCCTAAATCGATTTTTTTCACATATTTCTGTGAGCAATAAGAAACTCTACAAAAACTTATTTTACTCAATTAGCATTATGAATTTAAGTAACTCTATACACATTTAAAATTCTAAATAAAAAAGACAATTTATTTTCTTAAAGTGGCAGCACACATTCTCATAATACTACTAAAAATCCGTCTAAAAACCTAATTAGGGAACAAAAAACATATACACCCCTATATAAATGGGGGTATTTAGCACTTTGAAACTTATTTCATGGCAGCTCATGAAAACACAACTACTTTAAAAATACTTAAAACTTGAAAAAGGGGGTATATTGCCTAAACCAAATTTTGCACATATTTCTATACGTAATAAAAAATTCCCCCCCAATTTTTTTGTTTAATTAGCATTGTGAATATAAATAAATATGTTCATGATGTAACAGTCAATAAAAAATATATATACTACATAAAAAAATATAAAAACACAATTTAAGATCAAAAATATAAAAAAATAAACACATAAAAACATTTTTAAAATACTACAGAAAATTACAAAGTTCAAAATCTTTATTAAGACCGGACGGAGTTAGTGTTTCCATTTGAAAGATCCATCTCATCTCTTCCTGTCCGATCTTACGAATAAAATCACCTCCCCTCCAGTCCCGCTGTACCTTCTGTGCCTATGAACTCTAGTCCCCGTGGATCCTGTCCATGTACTTTCTTAAAATGTTCTGAGACACTATGACTTTCTAATCCTTTTCTAATGTTATAAATATGTTCTCTTATCCTTATGTGGAGTGGATGGGTCGTCCTTCCCCAGGGCCGGACTGGGAATTAAAAGCAGCCCTGGAAAAAAAATATTTACCAGCCCCATAATGCATCGCGCCAGCCTAGTGTGCAGATACAGAGTTAGAACAGATAACAGGGGGCCGGCCGCGTTCCTGGCTGGAGCCGCCGGGCCCGGTGGCAGCTTCCCCGGTCCGGCGGCCCTGCTCCTCTCACTGCTGTGGCTGATGGAGGAGGAGCATGTCTCTGTACCATGGTACAGAGACATGCTCCTCCTCCATCAGCCACAGCAGTGAGCAGGGGAGGGCTGGCAGCCTTAGGCCTGGGGGGCAAAACCAGTCAAGTGGCCCATTGCACCACCAAATCAGTTCACCATCCATGCCCACCTTTTCCTGGTTTTATAACGGATATTGATGTTATGCTAATCAGTAGCTCTTTGCCATACCCGCTCCTTCACGGCTCCAGGCACTGCTTGTTGTGAGTGTGAGCCACTGTAAATTAGGGCAGAGGGCACTTGCACTGCGGTAAAGATGGGGCTGGGCAGGAGGAGAGTGCAGTGCAATCAGTGCACTCCCCTCCTGTGGGTCACCAGTAGACTGGTGCACCTGCCCAGGATCAGAGCCGGTGCAAGGATTTTTGCCGCCCTAGACAAAATAAAAATTTGCTGCCCCCCATGTGACATCACAATGCCCCACCCATATGAACTAACGCCAGTGCTGCACACAGTGTGTGTTTACATTAAAAAGCCTGCAGGGACCAGCTATAGACACCAGAACCACTTCATTAAGCTATAGTGTCCCTTTAATGTGAGGTACATTATAGATTAGTGTCACTAATAATATACTAGATTGCCTACTTACAAGCAGATGAGGATGATGATGGGCTGCAGTTTGGCTCCACTGGTCTGGTGTAGAACAGGATCTCTGGAGGCTGTTTGCAACTGTGGTCACAAAATTCAATGTTCTGGGAGAATTGGAAGCAGCTCCATTTTTTGGGGCCCCTTACACACCTCAAGGTCTGGGCCCACTCATAAGTTCCACCCACCCATGAGTTCGCTCACAGGGAGTGGAGTGTGTAGGGGATGTGTTATGTGTTATTGTAGAGGATCTAATATGTGTGCTTATGGTATGTAGTGTATAGGGTTACCAGTTTGTGCAGGTGATGTAGTGTGTTTGTGTGTAGTGGAAGCAGTGTGTATTTGTGTATAAGGGATGTATTATGTGTTTCTGGTTGTGTGTAAGGGATGCATTGTGTGAATCTGTGTTTGTATGCATAAGGGATGCAAGGTGTGTGTCTGTATGTGTGTGCATGAGAGATGCATTGTGTTTCTGTGTGTATGTAAGAAAAGAAGTGTGTGTTTGCATGTGTGTGTACGGGTTTGCATTGTCTGTTTCTGTGTATGTGTGCAAAGGATGCATTGTCTTTGTGTGTGTTGCAATGGATGCATTGTGTGTTTCTCTGTGTGTAAGGGAAGCATGTTGTGTTTCTGTGTATGTATAGGGATGCATTGTGTGTGTGTGCACGCGCGTAGTGTGAAAGAGCTCCCTGTCTTGGCCCCTGTCCTATAGAGCTGCCCCTTCTGTCCCGTAGAGCTCTCCCTGCACCTTAGTGGTCTCTCCTCTCCCCCACCCTCCCCTAGCGGTCTCTTCTCACACTCACCCACCCTCCCTGTGCTCTTCTCATCCCCCCTCCACCCTCCCTGTGTTCTTCTCACTCCTCCCTCTATGTGTTCTCCTCACACCCCCTGTGTTCGTCTTACCCCCCTCCTCCCTGTGTTCTTCATACTTCCCCCCTTGGTCATCTTACTCCCCCACCTGTTCTTCTTACCCCCCTTTTTCTTATTGCTCCCCCTTCTTCTTCTTACCCCCCCTTCTTCTTACCCCCCTTCTTCTTCTTCCTCTTCCTCCCTCTTCTTCTTCTTACTCCCCCCTCTTCTTCTTACTCCCCCTTCTTCTTACCCCCTCTTCTTCTTCTTACTCCCCACTCTTCTTCTTCTTACTCCCCACTCTTTTTCTTACTCACCCCTTCTTCTTCTTCTTACCCCCCTCTTTTTCTTATCTCCCCTCCTTCTTACTCCGCCCTCCCCCTTTTCTTATTCCCCCTCTCCCTCTTCTTACTCCCCCCTCTTTTCTTACTCCTCCTCTTCTTCTTCTTACTCCCCATCTTTTCTTACTCACCCTTCTTTATTCCTCCCTCCCCTCTTCTTATTCCCCCTCCCCTCTTCTTATCCCTCCTCCCCTCTTCTTGTCCCCTCCTCTTTTTTATTCCCCCCTTTTCTCTTTTTGTTCCCCTCCCTCTATTCCTCTCCTCTTCTTGCCCCCTCTCTTCTTATCCCCCCTCCTCTTCTTATTCCCCCTCCCTCTTCTTATTCCCCCCCTCTTCTTTTTATTCCCCTCCCCTCTATTCCCCTCTTCTTACCCCCCCTCCCTCTCTTCTTACCCCCTCCCCTGTAGCGTGGCCGAGCTGCACTCCAGTCCGCGGTGGCCGGCCGGAGTGATAGGAAGGTGCACACTGAGTGTGCACTTCCTGTCAGTCCGGCCGGTGACAGGAAACAGAAACTCCTGTTCCGAGCGGAACAGGAGTTTCTGTTTCCTGTACCCGGTCGGACTGACAGGAAGGCAGCTCGGCCACGCTACAGGGGAGAAGCTGCAGCCGCCTGACCGCTCTTAACAGAGCGCTCAGGCGGCTGCAGTATTTAAAGGGCCGGCCCGCCACGGCCGGCCTTACAGGAATTTAGGGCGGCCTGGGGGGCAATTGCCTCCCTGCCCCCCGGCCCAGCCCGCCCCTGGCAGTGAGAGGAGCAGGGCCGCCGGACCGGGGAAGCTGCCACCCGGCCTGACGGCTCCAGCCAGGAACGCGGCCGGCCCCCAGGTGCCGCGGCCCACCGGGAAATTTCCCGGTATCCCGGTGGGCCAGTCCGGCCCTGTCCTTCCCACATACTCCAGTCTACATGGACATTTCAACAAATAGATCACATTATTGCTGTGACAAGTAATGTGCTCTTTAATCTTGAATTCTCTTTGCGTTCTCTCTGACCTAAATTTTTCCACTTTGCTCTCTTTGATATTCCCTATATTCCTACAGGCAAGACACATCTTGCATCTGTAGAATCCAATGGGGTGTCCTAGGAAATTCTCTGTTACTCTCTTAGGTTTTTCTCTCAAGTAACTATGTACAAGATTGCTTCTTAAACTCGGAGCCCCCCTAAAGGTAATTTTGGGTTTGGACGGGAGTAGCCCACTTAAATCTTTGTCTGTTTTTAATATTGGCCAGAATCTATTGATAGTTTTTTTCAAATATTGATGCTGATTATTAAAATCAAAGACTAACACTTCATTAAAACTTTCCTGATTCATATTTTTCACTTTTTCTTTTTGAATTAGATCTATTTGTGCAATTGGTTTCACCTCATTAAAAGCTTTTTTTAGGATATCTTCTGGATAAGATTTTTCCCTAAATTTCTTAAAAAGGTCTTCAGCCTGCTGGTCAAACACTTTTTCTTCTGTACAATTCCGTTTCAACCTAAGTAGTTGGCCCTTTGGTATGTTGTTAAGCCATGGTGAATAGTGCCCACTGTGATATGAAACATAACCATTCACATCAACTTTTTTTTAAAAAGTCTGTGTTTTCAGGACCCCATTTTCTATGTATATCTTGAGATCTAAAAAGTCAATACATAAAGTGCTGATATTACTTGTAAGGCGTATGCCCCAAGTATTATTATTTAGGTATTCTAAAAAATCTCTAAAATGGTCTTCTGTGCCTTCCCAAATGAAAATCATATCATCAATATAACGGTGATAGGCCCGCACCCGCGCAGTCCAGCTATGTTCATTATAAATAAAAGAATTCTCCCAGTGGGCCATAAAAATATTCGCATAGCTGGGTGCGTAAGTGCTGCCCATCGCCGTCCCTCTTTTCTGTAAATAAAAGGAAGAGTCAAACCAGAAGTAATTATTATTCAGAGTCCATCTAATACATTCTACTAAAAAATCAATTTGTGCAGGTAATAGTGTCTGATCTTGTTCAAAGAAATACTTGACTGCTGCACATCCTATATCATGTGGTATACATGTATATAGAGAAGTAACATCACAGGTTACCAGGCAACATCCCTCCTTCCATTCTAACACCTTCATTTATAAAAGACAAAATTTTATTTTCGTTAATTAGCACCCCTTTTAAATGTATGAAACAACTATGGTCTGACATGCACATTGAGGCATGGTAAAAAAAAAAAATCTAAACGTATAACCACTTGTCCTTTATGCAGTCCTATTAACCAGCAGGTTACCAGAGAGCTGTTTGTACAAACCCTATATATTGGAAAAATGTTGGATATATTTAGGTTGATAAGATCCATAATAAATCTTAATAGGTATCCAATAAATTATTAAATTATTATTCAAATATCTATATTTTTATGGATAATGAGCTGTGACAAGTCTCTGAACACTTGGCAAAATGTGTTCTATTCTTCGGTTTAGCAATAAAAATTGTAACCAATATCTAAAAGGACAGGGATACAAATATAAAGTAACAAAAAGTTAAACAAAGAAAGTAAAGCAAATAAAACCAACACCTGGGTGACTTTATAACTGACTCAATTGTCAGTAATCACACCAGTTCATGTATGTGAGTAAGTGATAGATGCTATAAATCAATGAAGAAAGATACTCTCTATCTAATGTTTAATAGCAGGATAAGGGTAAGTATATCTGACATGCACGGGTAAACAATGGAATTATCTATGAAGTACCTTATATAACAATTAATAAATAAATACCCTCCTACACCAGCCGTTAGGTAGAGCGTATTATTATTCTCAAACTATCGTACCCACATAACTTGGTCATCCTGCCTACTTATATCTAAATCCCCATCACACTCGGCTAAAGCGAATAAATAAAAGATAAAGCAAAAAATGGCCAATGTGCGTTTCGGCGCTAGCTTGCGCCACATCCAGGAGCAAGTGTCCGAGTTTGCTCAGCTGTTACTGCACTTGAACATGTGACATCAACAATCTTCATTGCCATGGGAACATCATGCAGGGGTGACAATGGCAAGATTACCTCTTAGTCCCCTCAGAAATCATTGATTCCTGATGGACTGGAGTATGAGATGCATTAAGATCTGGCATACAAATGTGGCATTTATGGGGCCTACATTAGACCTCCTACATTAGCAAATGTTCACCAGACTTTTAGTAATTATCCGTGCAACTCCCTTTTTATGACCTGCTGGACACAGTGCTCTCCTCTCACTCTCCGAGTACCAGTAGCTGATAACCTTAGTAAGTTTTCTACTCCACCAAAGCATGAAGGAAATATAGAGAGCAGCTCAGGGAACCTCAACATATTAATTTAGAAATGTAAACGTGGAAATCAACATGGATTACTGTTTTAAGAGATGCTTTGTCTCGTTGTAGAATTGTAAGGGTTGTTGGTGCAGATAGAGGGGACACTTCATTGTTTTACTCCAGGAGAATTTCTAACTTACCTGGTTCAAATAATTTGTGTTCATTTAAGGCAAATCTACAATCCTGAGTAAATCAAAATCCTCAAAAGAAAAATCAATAATTTCCTTAATAAAACTTTATTGGTGTTGTTAATTACAGTGATGAAATGGTCATTTGTCACATTTACATTGCCAGTTTATCTGTACTTAGAAACCAGGACAGCAGAAACTGCATCGAGGAACTTGTCCCAGGCTGATTGGGCAGTGGGAGTGAATTCAGCTCCAAAATGAGCAGCCAGAGTGACCTGGATGGAGTGAGACAGCAGCTACAAGAAAAACAAAATTAGAATTATATTTAGTTATTTATGATAGATGTACAAAATATGTAATCATTTGTATTCAATATTAGATTTTATCTTCGAGAAGCTATTTTTTTTTTTTACAATTAACATATGTTTAGAGACAATTATATCAATGTGCTTCTTACATGAAATATCTTTCTGCCTCTACTAACATGACAAGTCAATGAACATAAAATAACACTAATGGGGAATACAAATTGCATATTATAAAATGCAGCTAGCATATAGCTCCCTCAGCATGTGGGCCCCAGTGCAGCCACACTGGGTGCACCAGCGGTAGTAACACCACTGAGCGGCGTCCCTGTCTGAGGCTTCCTGATTCAAGTCTTATACAACAGCAAAAAGGAGGGGCAGATCTAGCCAGCACTGGGTTCAACACTTATGGGTTAAACCTCTTGTTAAGAGTTTAGCCCCTAAAGGTAAAACAGCGCCAAGAACCTCATAGCACCACAACAACTTAATTCTGATGAAGTCGTTATGATGTCCAGAGAGTCTTTTTAAAGTAGGTCCAATTATGGAAGCCAGAAGAATCAGCACTGGTGATTTCTCCACCTTTAATTTGTACAACTGTTTAAAACAGGACACTTTGATATATCTCCCATATATATATAATTCTTAGTCATTTTGTTGATAACCCTATGTTATTGTAAAGCGGAAAAATAACAAAAAGTTCTTACACTGAAGTTGCCAGGGTCAACTCTCAGTTGGTAAGCGTGGAGGTCACTGAGGGCAGACAGAGCACCGCTAAGGTCATCCAAGTGACTGGCAGCACCTCCAATGGCATTCAAAACTTTTCCACCATGAGTGCGGAGATCCTGGGAACCATGGCTCAGGTTAAAATGGCTGAAGTAGGTCTTGGTCTGAGGGAAGCTCAGAAAGAGCCTGTTCAAAAGAGAAACATAAGTATGGGTTGCAAATTACTACATGTTATTTGCATAACTGGTTATAACATCAGTTATCATTTTAATTCCCTTGTCAATCCACAATTTAATGTACAAACATTTATGAAACAGTGAATTAACAAGGGAATTAAATTAACCTAATTGGAAAACGAAAATCCAATTCAGATGTTTATGCCTTGGTAATATCCTTGTAAATCGGTCACAACTAAAAATGTATTGAATAAATCCACAAAAAATTAAATGTGGTGAAATGACAGACTGAACAGTAAAAACTAGGACGCCTACTTTATTCATCTTGACTCCTTTAGTCTACATTTTTGTAACCACATTTCAATGTTTAGTGAATACACATGTCAAATTATGGATAAAATTAACTAACAGGGTATTTCACTAAAGAGAGGATACAAAATGAATTTCAAATTTAAGGTAAGAATAACTAAAATTGAAACATTCTCTAATCAGGGCTGCCCAAAAGGTAGATCCCTCGATGCTGTAGAACTACAACGCCCATGATGCTTTGCATGCCTTTAGCATGACTTTAGAATGACAAAGCATCATGGAAGCTGTAGTTTTAAAACATCTGGGGTCTACAGTTTGGGCATCCCTCCGCTAAGTCAAGTATGCTTCCAGTTTGGCTACTCTGACTTAAATTAGAAATTCACTTAGAAGTCTCACTTTAGTGAAAAACCCTTCTAGTTGAAAACCTCTGTTATGTTACTCAGCTTCTATTGTGGAAAAGGGTAGCTGTGATAAGACCAATTATTATTTAATTCTATCAAGTCAGACCACAACAATAACGCTTAATAGAGCTGTAAAACTACTCAAAGGAAATAAATCTCTCTAACATTTGATACAAATTAACAATTTTTAATATATCTTGTAAAGCAGCGTTGAAAAAAAACTTTAATTTGACACATTGGCAATATTTATTATACATTTTTATATCAAATGACTGCAGCTTATACAAACAACATACGCTGTAACCAAAGATGTAATATCTGCATTCCTGCTCAAATTGTTTGACTGTCGCTTTGAGTACATGCCTGTTATACAAAGATTGTAACACAAACTTTAACCCCACTTTTTTTTTCTGTACCCCTTCCCCCAAAAAACAAAATCTTTACAAATAAAGAATTTTCAAAAAAAAAAATGACTGCAGCTTCACGTGCAAAAGGCAGGCAGCACTATTACACCTTTTAGGTGTTATTAGATCTTAAAATGATAAATACTTTATTTAACCGCATCACAAATAATCTATGGTCTTCCTAAAATGAACATCTGAAAGTAATGTATGTAATGAACCACTTCACGTGCAAGAAAAAGTGAGTCCAAATATTGCTATGTTATCCCAACTTATCCCAATTTATTAAGGTAAAAATATAGTTTAGATCAGGGGTCCTCAAACTTCACCCCCCAGATGTTGCTGAACTACAACTCCCATGATTCTCTGGCTATATATGTAATTCAAAGAATCATGGGAGTTGTAGTTCAGCAACATCTGGGGGGCCGAAGTTTGAGGACCCCTGGTTTTGATAAATGAACTTGCAATGGTTTTGGTACAATTAGTATGTCTATTTCTAATGCACATCAGAACTTCAGAGCATTAGTCAAAAGTGAATCACTTTGGGGTTTATTCACTGCATTTGTAATCGTGAAAAAATTACAAGAGAGTCGTAGAACTTAGGCCAAATTACCGACTTAGCAGAGTTAGGAATTAAAAAAAAAAAAGTTTGCCTATTTAAAGCTGTAAATCCCTTATAGATTCTCTAAAATTCCAGCTTTACTGAATAAACACATAGAGGATTATTTACTAAAGTGAGATTTTGAGGCGAATTTAAAGTGATTTTTAAATTTATTGTCAAAATAGTCAAATTGGAAGCATCTCTTAAGTCAGCTATGTTTTTAGTTCAATTACTCATTCATTTTGAATTCACTTTCAATGCTCACTTTAGTAAATAACCCTTTAACAGGTTTTTATTCACTAAAGTAAAACATTGTCAGGAATTCAATACGAATTTCAAATTTAAGGACAATTCTCAAATTTAAGGACTATCCTCAGTTTAGTAAATATCCCTGTGCATTTATGTAAAATATTTCAGTGTAGAGAGTTCATAGAACGTTGACTAAGGACTCGTGCAATAACATGTTTAGATTAACTATACTACCGGCTTAATATATGAAAGTTATAAAATATTACTTCAATTGATAAATGAAAATATTTCACAATAAAATGTTATATAATAGACTATCATGTCAGTCATACCTTTCCAAAGCCTCTGCTCCAAGCTCATCAGCGTGGCCGTCTACCTTTCCCCAGATGGAGACAATTGCAGCCTTTTCAGCGTCTGAGAAAGTCATGTTGAATTGGAGTATTGGACACTCTGCAAGTGAGTTTAAAAGTCCCTACTGAATGGTCAGTTTATTGGCATTTTTAAAGAAAATGGACATCAAAGAAAACAATTGAAAAATATTCCCATCAACAATTTTTCTGGTTGCACCCAAATTCTTATCTTGAAAATAAAACGTATATGTCATGGATTCTATACTGCTGATAGGAATATTGTCTCATTATCTCAACATACAGTGTGTTGTATACAGTACCTATCTTCCTATGACTGTGCAAGTCTTCTGCACTGATAAACCGCCTCATCAGCACAACAAGTCTATTGTCTAAAATGAAATTCATTCTGAAGTGATTAGGTAGCATTTACTGAAATGTGAAATTTCATGCTTTATGCTACTGTATTGTATTGTAATTCATTGACATCCTTCACTTAAAATGCAATTGCACGAGAATGACTAAAATATACATATAGGATATAAATACATAATGCCTTAAATTAGGAATGTTTTTGCAATTTCATGTTTAAATACTTTGCAGGATCTGTATGTAATTGATTAATTATACTTATTAATTTTGTTGTACATACTTAATTTTTCATTAATTTTCATATTTTGAGTGTATATTATCTATCACCTTACTTACAGCTTACTACCAAAAGCTCGGGGCACATTTAGGATAAATATCTTTCTTGACTCCAAAATGGCTCTCTTTTGATCAGCAAACTGTAATTCTAGATAATAACTATTATATCCCTAAATATCATATTTTTCCAAAAAAGCATTTAGACATGGTTTTAAAAAGTGTCTTGTAACAACTTATATAGACAGAAAAGTATGTCCTAACTGTTAAGAACTCTTTCTACTGCCATTGTTGAAATCTTTCTTCGTATCTAAACGTATAACCACTTGTCCTTTATGCAGTCCTATTAACCAGCAGGTTACCAGAGAGCTGTTTGTACAAACCCTATATATTGGAATAATGTTATATAACCCAACTGACACTCCTTTTTCTAAACGAGTTCATATTTTCTATCCCGCAATCACACTTCTTATCTAAGGATGTGTCTCACCTTCATTTATAAAAGACAACATTTTATTTTCGTTAATTAGCACCCCTTTTAAATGTATGAAAAGGCTTTAGCAACTATGGTCTGACATGCACATTGAGGCATGGTAAAAAAAAAATCCATTTGAGCTGTAATGGCATGATTTGAGAATGCTTACAAATGTGTACATAAGGCAGGGATGCACTGGATAAATACGTGTTTGTCATTTGCTTCTCTAAAACAAGTCATGATATCCCCTGGTATCCTTTGGCTCTGTTACTTCTATTTGTGCTTCTTATTGTCTTGCCTTGCCTAATATCCCATCATCCAATACCCATAGTGGCATGTGAGGGCTGAGGGCTCTGATATTAATAAATATCGAGATTAAATGTCCCCTATGGGGGGGGGACCTACTGTCAGCCTCAACATTTACCAATGGCAGTGGAAGGTGCTCGATATAAATATAGAAGTGGACAAAACAATTTCCAACATTCCATTGCTCTTAAGTGTCCTCCCAATTTCAATGAGTCCCCAAGCCCCTAGCCACCTCCACCATAATAAATGAAAACCTACCTAACCCTTAAACCCTAATAATAATGAGAGGAGGTCCTATAAGTTTAAATAACTGCAGACAATAAAAAAAGTAATACTTACCATTAGATGTCTTCTTTCTTTTGTCTTAGACCTTTTTTTTTAAATGAATCTTTTTATTAATTTTATCATCTATAACAAAGAATTTGAATACATAAAAACATTTAATTCATTCATTCATTCATTCATATTTGGCTTATTGAATCAAATATATTACATATAAATTGACAAGCATAAATTATACTATCATAATTTAACATATTGACATTACAAACAATTTGATCATTTAGACCATTCCATTCAGACCAG